AGTTGTACATAGTAAACTATAAGTAATTTTAGGGCTCCGAAGACGTTCCTAGTAGCAGTGACTTCGACTGCAGCTCTGGATCTCGGTTGTTGAAGCAGACATGCACTCTGGCGAGCAGACAAAGGCACTCTGGCGAGGTACTACGCTGTGAAGCGATCAGATACTAATCGATTATTCTGCCTGAAAGTGATCCTCTTATACTGAGACCCATTTTTTCATAAGTATGATTTTTTTGGCAGTTATCCTGTTGGTCATCGGCCGCTACTATTCATTGCTCACAGTCTGCAATCCAGCGTTTCTCTGAAACGCAGCGGTGAAACGCAGGGCGAAAAGGTCCTTATACGCATCGATTGCCAGTTGGGCGAAGACTGGCGTTGCGCGAAACGCTTTTGGTGCTTATCTATGCGCGGTTGAGCGTGCGGTTTCGAAAAACGCTGGCGAACAGGGGCGCCTAGACGAGAACCGTCGGCGAAAATTCGAGAGAGCGAAACCGCAACGCGTGACACGAACGTGTTCCGCAGTTGCCTTGATTCCATCGATTGACTGTAGAACACCCACTTTTACCTCCGATAAACTACGGCAAAACCTAAGAATTTCTACAGGACGGCGGTACGAAGGCTTTATTTCGGCTTCATTATTACATATTAAGCCATTGGGCTGAAGTATTCACATGAGAAAGCGACCGAACCAATACCATTATGAAATCTTGAACTACGTACAAACAGCGAAGTAATCAAATCATATGATGCCACTAAACACGAACAAAACAAAATGCGCTGCTGCTTACAGCAAATGAACTTAAATCTGGGTAAATGGTAAGCCTTGCTGTCTGCATTAAATAAATTACCAGAGAACAGTCACCGTAACTGAGTTGAATACAATTTTTACATAGTCTATATAAACATGCCCTCACTGAGGCTAACCGAGTAGGAATGAAATAGCTATACAATGAGGGCAAGAATACCATCGTAAAACCAGTGTGGAACTGAGATGGCCGTCGGAATGTAATCGATAAACCACTAAAAATAGATGGAAAAAAGATGAAGAAGGAAGGAAATTGTATCGATAGGGATAGACTCCAGGAAGTAAGATAAGGGGTAAGTTCTATACGTTTAACAAAGAATGCCTCATGGATTTTTCACCTACGCACCCTCATGACGTCATCTGGTGCGACCCCCGCTCTGATGGCTGCAGTAGCCACTCCACCTCTAAAGACCGAAGTGTGTGCGTCAGATGCAGGTGCGCCAAAGCTGCGTCTGAAATAGTCTGCCTTCCTGGCGATGAGGTCCCTAGGGGGGAGGGGCGAACCGTTAATGGTACTGAAAAGGAATTCTCCTGCCCTGCGCGTGAGATTGAGTTTTTGGAAACGGTCCCACAACGCAATCTGCTTCCCCTCGACCGAAATGCAGTCTGCGTTCCGACCCCCACTTGGTCGACCTTTATTTTCAAAACGGAAGCCAGCCACCACACGTTACCGCCCTTAGCGCTGATATCTCCATAACGTATACTGCAGACTTCGCTGACTTGAAAAAGGCGACGTACATGAGGAGAACCATTGACGCGGATTTAATAGCCGTACCAGACCCTACTTCGAGGGCCCAATCGATTATTAAACCTACGTCCTCAGGCGAAGCCCGAAGCCTTAGTCCTGTTCACCACCAGGGCGAACCCTTGCAGCCGATCTCAAAAGAACCCTCTGATATCCTGATCCACCTTCATGCTAGCGGACCGAAGAAGCTCGCCCTAACGCTGCTGCCATGTACTTTCGGCCTTTAAATCTCCCACTTATCGCATGCAAGATGCTAAAGTACAAGTCCTAACGTTTATGAATCGGGGGGCCCGGGGGGACGCCGGAACGTTAGACTTTTGAAGGAACTCCATGAAGTCCTTCCTGACTTTCTTATGCGCTGCCAAGGTTCCTCTCTAAACTGACGCGTCGGAACAGCTGTTTACGATATTTTGCGATCTCGACGGAGGACCCTATTGGCGATGGCTAATGCCAGTCCTCTCCAGATCTCTCTCGCCCTCTCGGCTGGCAAATACCTGGCAGACATCACCATGTCTGGTAGCGCAGCCTAACTCTCGAAAACCGAGCAAAAGACAGCAATTGACCCGGAGATGTCATGTGATAACTAACTGACCCTACCTCATAAACGCCTAAGGTCTCGAGCGGTAATGACTACCCTGAGACATTATCAACAGACCTAGCTGCCGGGCACCTCATTCGATATCCTGAGGTGTGACTTGTTCCAAATAATGAGGATGGTGGCACAAACATAAGGCTACCCATTTACGTAACAGACGCTATGTTGCCATGCTACCGCGAGATTAGGCTGACACCACAAGAGGCTGACGGGAAAATGTTCACTAGGGAGGCTAGTAATGGCCAACCATAACGCCTAGCAGGCTAGGTATTGCTATTTTATCAAGCAAATGAGAGGGAGGAGGGCAGTAAAGCCGAAAAACCGGAGCCGAAGCCAACTCACATGACGGCCCCGCGACCCCCATGATTGAGTTCGCCCCGAGCGGCGCGGTTCCCGCTCAAGCGCCGCGTCCTTAGGAAATTCAAAACAACATTTGGGCGCCATTGTTTCGCACAGCTGCGGCTGCGTGACATTGCGTACCTTGCGGAGCTACAGTAACTCACACGCCTAGTTTTTATTTAATGTCGAGGGAGACCTTATGGGACGTGCGCCTATATTTATTTCGATAAATAAGGAGTGAAACTCCTGATCGGAGTTCGCCTTTCACAAGTCCGATAGGAACTGACGACAATAATACAAAAGGTGGTGCACTATATTATGAGCCAATGGTGGCTCATAATGCCATCAATGCGTCAATTGGAGAAATCGCGGGAATGAGCTAGAAAAAAGTTCCGGCAGCTGTGGTTGCCTAATTGAATGGCAGTGCCTGTTAACTGTCCCCTAGCTTAAATGCTTCACGCGACACCGCGATAAAAGGCCTAACAGTTCATACTGAACACGACTGACCTGTTAGCAACAGAAAACAATCTTTATACACAAGGAATCGTTGTATGGTATTCGTCAAGATTTTGTTGCCCTTTTGAAAGGGCCTTGGCACTTCGTTAGGGCCGTCCGTTCCTGGATAAGGTCCTGATAAACAGATATCCACTGACTGTAATTGAAGAGCTACACACTGCTGCAAAAATACCTGATGTTTTACCGACTTTGATATGCGTCTTGCTGGTCTGTAATTGAACAGGTGTTTTGCAGGGTTGTGCGAATCCGACGATAGTATGGCCGAAATAGCAGATTGTACATCCGCGAGAACTAAACAGAGTGTGCTCAGTCCCAGGTAGTACTGAAGCGAGTGAAGTGACTCTTACCAGCTATGTTTCGCGTCAAATCTGCGCTTACTGGCCGTTTCCGCAGCTTCCTGGGAGTACGGTCGAACATAGCTGTACCCCTGGACTAAAACCAGAGTTCACTAGGATTGTCGGTATTGCACGCTCCAACTGCTCCTAACTTCCCGCACTTAGTGGGAAATGGTCCCTCTTCGAAGAAACGCTGAATATATGCACTTGTAGGCTGGTATTCGGCGGTTCTCCTCATTATACCTTGATGTTGGGACGTTCCTGAAAACTCCGGCATCTCACACTCGCCCTGGCGCACCCAGGTCAAATGCACGGATGCTGTAGTCACAAGTCGACCAGTGCTAGCAGGGTTAGGGAGAACCACCTCTTATAGCTGAAATACGCACTTCCTGAATGGGCAAACTTGTAAAATAGGTATCATTACTGTCTTCGATCGGTGCAGTATATCCCATCTCACCCTAATTTTTATGCGTTTCCCATCCAAGAAGCCTATAACACGTGGATAGTCGTATCTCTCCTGCGTTTTTCGTGCCACCTCCTCCAGATCCGTCCGTGTGATCGGAGGGAATGCCTCTTCGAAGAGCACTGATATAATAATCGTTAAGCTCACGCTAACTCTGCCAAAATATCATCCTCACCATTCGTAATTGCACCCGCCACTTCGTACACTATCTTGCTTACTGTGGATTTACCACAGTGCACCTCCTCCGCTAATGCCCCGAAGGCATACCCGTGCCCGACATAACTTAAATTACATAATGTTACAATCATGAAATGTTTGTTAGGAATGATTTTCACCTCAAGAAAATGAAAAGCCGCTGACGACCAGTTATAGGCGAGGCGTGGGTTATACCGTGCTGCAGCGATCCGGCAAGACGTTCGTAGAGTTCCACGAACTCTGATGGAGTGACCCTCGCATAGTGCGTGAAGTTGCAGCTATCACACACCGCGAGGTACTCTTTAGAAGTTCGAAGACGGGAGTCCAGGAACGGCACGTGCTCCCGGTGCACGTACGAGTTGGGTACCCTTACTTTCAAGAGTACAAGTAGGTACGGGTTAACCGTTCGTGAAAATCACAGAAGACACCAAAGAAAAGGCAATGCTTCACTACAGAAAAGAAAACGCACAAAAGAAAATATGTGTGATATTGAGGCAACTATGGCGATTACGTCTGACGCTTACGAAACAAAAAAAATCGATTACGGACAGCCGGTCTGATCCTCCAAGCATCGGCTAGCAACAATTGCGACCCTACACATGGTTCCGGCCCCTTTTATACCGTCCTTTCCCGCGTTCCCGCGCTTCCTATTTTAGAGATTTCGCAATAGCGCTATAGGGCAGCGCTGTCCGTGGTCGCGATGACTTCCCCTGAACAGATATACGAGGTTATACATTGCAGAAAAAAAATACAGGTAAGTAAACGTTCCATCTTACACGGCACTACTACGGCCTACCTCCTTCACTCTACATGCCTCCCCGCACCGCAGACCTGTTCCTTAGATCTGTTTTTAAGAGCCATGTTCTCTACTCCTTTCACGATTTGCCTCTGACGGTTCCGGTCCTGTCGGCCGCTCAACTCTTTTCAGATGCCTCTTAGAAATCCTTCCATCTCTCAGTGGCGGTCTTCCGCTGCTCGACTGTCCTGGCACCGGTCTTCCAGGTGCCCTCATCGTTCTCGGACATCTTCAACGGCTCCAACTGATGCCTCACTACGCCGGCTCAACGCCTCACTGAAGCATGCATTCGTTCCCACTCAATTCCCCCTCACTCAACAAAGTTAGGAACTCACCGGGCCTCCTCGGCGTCTTCCCTGAGAATCGCCTGCCTTTCAATCTTCTCGATCTTGGCTGCTTGTCTCGCCCAGCCTGATAAATTAAGTTGACTTGAGCTGATTTCCTGCTTCAGTCTTTTCAATGCGTCTACGTCAACGCTAGACGCCTTTTTGTGGGCCTTACCTGGTAGCCGCGTCCTTCGTGCCGCCTTTATTGGGCTCGTTCTTCTGCGACCTTATCAGGTCCAGTTCCCTTCGTGCCATCTCCAGTTGCCGCTGCAACAGCACTACTTCTTTCTCCTTCTCTAACAGCTTTATCAATCTCTTTTTAAGCTGCGTGCAATTCTCTAGCACATCATCACGCGCCCAACCTGTGCACTTTTCAATGTCCTTCGTTATGGCTGCCTCTACCGCTAGCTCCTCAACTGCTTCCACTAGTTCTAGCTGGCGTAGTACAACCTAAGGATGTCATCAGTTTCTTAAAACCGACCCTCTCCCGTTCATTTTCTGCACACATCTGCTTTAGGTCTCTAAGTTCCTGCTCTACCTCATTAACAGCGGATCTCATGACCCTTTCACAGCTGTCTCTTTTCGTGTCTCCTATTCGCCAACACTTCGCTATTTCAGCGCCAACCAATACTTCTACATTTTTTAGGCTCTTCAAAGCATGATCACAAACCTTTAGCTCATTCAGCTCTTCTCGGTGGTCCACATCCACCTCATCGACGGCCATGGGCACGTCATTCGACTCCTCTCGTGGATCCAAGTCCACTTCGTCAACAGCCGTGGGCACGTCTGCCATATTTGCCGCCCTCTCCCGAGGCACTCTCTGCAATATGCGCGTCCAATCCTCGGCCTTCTTTAAGTGACGGAAGACGGAGCCATCGTGAACTTTCACACGTCGTGTGGTGCCAAGTTCCCTCGAGGTTGACAGTCCTGCACTGATGCCAAAAAAATTTGGGCAGCGTTGACCCTTAGGCAATGTGTGCAGCACTATCAATCCCAGTCGACGGAACCGGGCACCACACTGGTCTCAACAGGATGGACTTTTCGTTGAAAAGCCCTCACCTGCTAGCAGTGCGTTAAATTAGCGACCACTCGAGGCAATGCCAAGGGATCGCTAACGGCAGCAAAGGTAACTGATGGCGCGACCGAAAAAAGCGCAAGTTCAAGCGTCCCGCCTTTTCTTTCACTTCAGTATCGTCGGCTTGGCCCCAAGTTGGGTACCCTTACTTTCAAGAGCAGAAAGTAGGTCCGGGTTAACCATTCGTAAAAATCACAGAAGACACCAAAGAAAAGGCAATGCTTCACTACAGAAAAGAAAACGCACAAAAAAATATGTGTGACCAATATTGAAGCAACTATGGCGATTACGTCTGACATTTACGAAACAAAAAAATCGATCACGGACAGCCGGTCTGATCCTCCAACATCGGCTAGCAACAATTGCGACCCTACACATGGTTCCGGCCCCTTTTACATATACCGTCCTTTCCCGCGTTCCCGCGCTTCCTATTTTAAAGTTTCGCACATGGATAGCGCTATAGGGCAGCGCTGTCCGTGGTCGCGTTGACTTCCTGAACAGATATACGAGGTTATGCATTGCAGAAAAGAAATGCAGGTAAGTATACGTTCCTCACACGGCACGCCTTCACTCTACATAAGCCCTCCTTCGTTCGGGCCCGCGGTAGCTACACACGCCTGCTCCAACGCCTCTAGGGCCTCCAGCAATCCAGCAACTTGTTGCTCAGCCATGTTTCGTGCTAAATTATTAGATCATTTTAATCGCCTTGTTACAGACTTGCCCACCACACTCTCAAAAGCGACTCGAGCGAACCTAATAAAGGAATGTTCTCGTTGATTTTCGTTGCATAATGTCTGAGAAGGCGCAGTTAGGCTTAGAGGGTGGGAGGGATGGGCTATTGTTTCTCTCTAGCTCTTAGACTGTGAAGACTTGATAAATCTGTGGAAATTCTATTAAATCTTTACTATGAGCTTTTACAGATGCGAACCTGTCATTTATAGCCTTACCTCCATTGAGCTAAACTGCGCCTTAGGAAATTTCAGTGTTAGGGTTGCATTGCAAATCCTTGTTGTTGTTGTTGTTGTTCTTTACTAATAATGGGAATGTTAACTGAATGAGAATGGGAATGTGCGTGTTAACTATGTTTTTTTTGAATGACAGTAGCTGCTCTTTTGCTGTGCTTAGGAGGATGAAAATATTCATTGGACCTTTTAGTCTTCTTTATTAGAATGTTCTGCACCTAATGTGCATTACTTTGTGAACATTGTTGGAGATTAGATTATTCGATTTACTCATGTTCGGGTTATTATCCGGTTACTCTTGTTCGGGTTGTACATTAATTATTTGTTATTGTTGTTTTCTGTTGTAACAAGAACGTTAACTATGTTGTTTATTAAATACCAATGTTACAGTTGTTACTGTGCTCAAAGAAGATGAAAATTTAACTAACTCAACTTTTGCTTGGTCTTCTTTTAGTAGACACTGCACCGTAATATGCCATAGATTGTATACATTGCGGTTGGAGAGAGAAACTTTTAAGTGCCATACACTGAATTGTTAGTGGTCACTGTGACGGGAGTTCCTGCTATCAGGGAAACTTTGGTGGACCCCGATCCTTTCAGAATTACCTCTTGTCCGACTTTTCTCTTACTTCAGAGATCTTTTCAAAAACTCGCATCCAGCCGGTGGGGAAAGGGGGGGGGGAAGGTGCAGTGCGCATGGTAAGAACTGAAAGAGGTCAACACCGAAAACGTTTTTATCAAAGGTAAAACGTATCCCCTGGTCAGAGCACCCGCCCCAAGGTCTCAGGTTTTTTGCGGCCGTTTTCGCCAAGTTTTCCTTCACACCTACACTAGCTTAGCTGCTCTTGATTTACTTAGGTGAAGAATGTCATCATTAAGTAAGTAGACGTGTCACAGCGAACATCTCCTCATCACGGTCTTCGGTGGGGTGTCAAAATGTAAACAAAGAAGGACTTCTTCTCGCAAAAGATCATCTTCTGCCAGAACAGTAGAGCACGCACAACAGAATTCTTTATCCTCCACGCTTTGACAATCTTCGCTGCCTGACTCATAGCCCTTTTTCTGCACTTTACGGCTGTAAATGCCGTCCAGCACTTTTTAATTTGAAGGCGTGGCGTGGACACGAAACTAGCATCGTCAAAAATGGTATAGGATGTATAGAAAAAGGCCTCGTACATCTGCAGCACTTTGCAATATGTTCAGTATATGAACTCAGGTCGACATTTCCATCAACATTCCCGTCGGAAAGAAAATCTACCTCACCCACCCACAACAGGTAATGCAACTTTTTCACCCAAAACATAATGTTCAAGCGAATATGTCCCCACACAAGTATCCTCAGACGATCCCAGGCACATCATTGGTCGAGGATTTCACTCGAGTCCGTAAGACCCCCTTCCTTTTTTTACGTTGGTACGACCTGTCCTCCGGCCTTCTATCCCTCCTCATCGAATCGAGAGCGGGGGAGGTGTATAGCATATGTGAAACAGGAAAAACCGCGAGACGATACGACCCCTTTCCTGGCGGCCGAATACGACCCTCGTTGGGATTGCCCAACAACAATGTGCCCTGCCATCCGCGGAACTTTGTCATGATCGGCGTGGAATGTGGCACGGTGTGTGCATGATCGTTTTAGTTACGGCCTTTTTGTGATATGGTAGTGGTTTTTTTTGTTTCATTTCCTGCTCTCTGGCATCTAAATTGTCCGCCCTTCCAGTAGCATTCCTGTGAAGTATTTCCGATCTGACACTCAGTATCCCGGTAATTTCGAACATACGATGCTTCGGGATTCGTGTCAACGGAGCTTTCCTTAATTCTTTTAAACGGTAAATATGAAGAAATAGGTTACTACTGTGAACAGTAAACTTTCCTCTATCAGTACTAGGTGTGGTGAATTTCTGAATTTGACTACATTCTCGTCGACTTATTTCTGAGAGAGATGTGTTGAGGAATTCGTATCAAAGATTTATTTGCTTCCTTATGGACGCAAAGCTATGCAATAAGTGATCTTAGGAAAATTTTTGTGGTTTCGGGAAAAGGAAACAAAAACAATTGACTGCAAGACCTGTATAAAGTGGAGATTCCAGTAAGTATCATAGAAACCATGGATAGGTTCTGTTTCTTTTCGGCATGCGATCCCAGGAAAAAAAGATCTTAAACAGACAGGGTACACAATACCGTAGAATTCATTAAAAGTTATGCCGTCATTTAATTGTGTGAAATGTGGAAGCCGATTCAGCTCAGTAACTCAACCGGAGTCCTTGTGCATAGCTAAGAGTGAAAAGAGAAGCTGAAATTAGTGACACCTGAAAAACAGAACTGGAAGTCGACAAATTGAAAACAAAACATTGTCTATCGACTTTCGCCAGAGCGGTTGGCGATTCTCCCATCGATACGTATCTGTATCCTTTCGCCGACACTCCAGCAACGTTGGCGTTTATCCCGTATCTTATCGATACGCATCTAGCGCTTTTCGCCCAACCGCCCAACCGCCGCGTTTTTCGCCCACGCGAAACGCCAACCCGACTTGGCTGGCGTTATTCGCGAGGGCGGAGCCTGCGATTTCGATACGCATCTATTGCTTTTCACAGATCGGAGAACCGCCCAACCGCGGCGGTTGGGCGGTTGGGCGATTCTCCGATCGATGACTATTTTTTGCTTTTCTCCCAACCGCCGTTTCGTCAGGGCCGCAGACTGTGAACAATGCCTTACTGACGTTCATACAGTGATATTTTTTTCCAAATAACGGTTCCTGTTGTTTACCTTAACACAATAAAGTTTGACAAATTTATAACATTACATTCTGTAAACATCTGAAAAAAGAATCTCGGGCAGTATAAAGTGTAGACTATTATGTGGAATACATCAAATATTGAATAGGCACACTAATGCTTCTTCTAACATATAGACGACAATATGCCGCAGCTCTTCCTGTTATCCTTTTGTCACTTTGCTAAGATCTGGTGATTACGGTGCTTGAGACATATGGCAAAACATTAGTAAAACAAAAACAACAGAAAAACTAAAACAAGAACCGATTGGTGATAATCATGGGGCTTCGTTCACGAACTATATTACTACGAGATAGTACAATGACCACAACGACTGATGAGCCGTTTTATAAGAATTCTTAGAATCCTAGTTCTAAGAATTTGACAACTAGACAAACGTACTATTCCTAGAAGCGTATTGCTACTGCGATAATCCTTTCAAAATCCAAAACCCTTCACATGAAAAAGGAATCAACCATCTATTACTCAAGGAAAGTACAGGCGAGAAAGAAGATCAAACGACGGAATGAGGACCTAGGCGATTAAGCGAAACAATGCTATCACAAGTATTATGAGACCACCACCGAGGGAAGCAGCAGGATTGCATGCTGGTCGATCAGAGCACTGCGTCATAGTACGTGACACTCCTGATGATCCCTGAAAAGGTAAATTTACCGAGCGCGCTCAGCTTTATCATCGCTTTTCGTTTCTGGTAGTTGTATGTTAAAAAGAAAACAAAACTTAAAGAAATGAAGAGGAGGACAACCATATCCATGCCGCACTCACGTAGTGTACTGCGAACGAGTAAGTAGGTAAATCAGCGTATAACAACTGGATAAATGAATAAGCGAAGCGGATAAATGAAAAAGAGAGAGAGAGCACAGAGAGTCTCAAAAAAGTCCAGAACTGAATTCACTGGAATGGCTGACACTATGCTTTACTTCGAATTGTCTGCCAAACCCACATTCTATTTTATTTCCAACAT